CACAATTGTCAGTTTTACATTTTATTATTTTCCTTCTTATTTTTTAATTTTTTTTTAATTGACATTGCCTTTCCTTGTAAAGAACAAGGAAAAAAATAGAAAAACCAAACCCCATAACACCAGGAACAGGGAGCAGATTCTGGGAATATCCTTACCTTTCTGCATACCTGGCCCTTGGATAGCAAGGGGTAAAAAAAATTAGTTAATAATAAAAGGTTTCTCAGCTCTGCTCTGAATTTTTTACTTTTTGTAGCCATTCCTGACACAGTAACTTGTGCAGAAGGCATAAATTCAGAGTGCCTGGCTCAGCCACTTGTGCTTTCTCATCACTGTTTGACTTCAGCATGTTGTCTTCAAAGAAGCTTGATCCTGGCTCCCACAGGAGGGGATGGCTGCCCCTTACAACAAATTTCACCCTCTTTGTAGCCATGGTATAGATCTGAGCTAGATACTGGATGCCCTAGTTCCAGCAAGTCACTTCTGAATCAGCTTTCTTATCAACTTCACCAACACTAAATATATTGTCTTAAGCATTTTTGACCCAAAGGGAGAAGGTAGGCTTTCCATCTCCGTCTTCTTTCTGCCAAATTCAGAATCAGGGTTGTGGTGACCACGAGGCTGCTGTGCATGCACAGCTGAAGTAGAGAAATAGCAAAAGGAGCAGAAAAAATTACATCAGAGATGCCTGCTCCCACCTACAAAGAAGCCCTGTTCTTTCATCTTGATTAAAGATCCTGCTCAGGGTAATCTGGGACTTTATCATCTCCTGAGAGAATTTCTATAATCTGGGTTGACAGCAAAAGAAAGTGAGCACCCTCCTACAGAGCCTCAGCTACTTACCAAGCCAACTCAGTTTTCTGCCCTCTCCTAGCTCAAATCCACAGCAAATCTTGGGTTTGGTCTGTAAAGTGTTAGTGAATCATTTGTCAGTAAGATCAGGATTTTCCCGTCTTCTTTTTGTCCTTTGAGGCTACTCTGTACATACAGGGACAAAGACTCAGGTTGGAACTCTATGACATAAAGCATCTCTAGCCAGAAGTTTGGTTTTGGAATCAGTTGCCAGCAGAGGTAAGAATGAAATGTTTAATCAAGAGGTTAGAACCTGCAGAATAGCAAGATGTTCCCTGTGCATCCTAAACCCTTTCTAATTGATGAATTCTTTCAGCCTTTCTCATGCTTTAATTTCAGGTTCAAATTTTGCTTTATATTTCTTGGACAAAAGACACAAGTGCTTCATTCATAATAAGGTTTATTGACAGGGCTGGGCTCAAAGTATGCTTCTATTGGAATGCAGATTATTGGGATCAGCCTGAGCTCCTTTTCCTATTTAACATTTGTCCTTCCTCAGCATCTTCTCTGTGGGTGTGCTTGCCAACATGAACTTCATTTTTTCCTTTCCATTTGGCACATGGTTCCTTTTTCTCAAGCAGCTTCAGTCTCTTACTTGCTCTTCTCCAGCCTGTCATCTCCTACTATTATCCAGTTGTACACATTGCACGACTTAATCATAGTAATATATCGAGTGTATGTGCATGTTTTTTCCCTCCTCTGGGTATTTCAAAGATATCTGTGAGTTGAAGAGCAGCATGGAAGACTGAACTTGTTGGTAGACCACACAAAAACATTTGACAGAATGATGACATCTGTCCTTTATTCAGTTGGCAGCTTGTGACCTCTCAAAACAAAATTTAATGCTAATTTCTTGCTGATAGAAGAAACTGTAGAGTTCTTAGACACATTAAAAGGTAAAAATTGTTAGGTCCCAGTATTAGATAACAAGTCTTTGATCTCAAATAAAGAAACAGGTCAGAAGTTGAGTATTTGAGTTACTGGAAGTCACTTTATTCTTCAGGCAACATGTTTACTGTGGAACACTGCAGAAAAATAAGCAATGACAGCTTTGAAAAAACCTCCATCATATTCTTCACTTGCTATTTTTTAAAATTAAACATAGAATCATAAAGTGGCAAATATTAATTCATGATTCAGTAATTTATAAAATTATTTTCATAAATCCTTGGAAGCACATTGAAATATCTGATGTTTTATACACAACTATAAAGCCAGAGGTAATAATGTATTTCTCTTTTAGTAGTGTTAGTGTAATATTTTGGGACTTGAAAAAAATGTATTTTATTAATCCACTTTCCAGAGCACACCATATTTGGGATAAGCTAAAGGATTCATAATTCCATAAGGAGAATTTTCAGAAATATTTTGAGATTTAAGTCCTTTTGTACCCAGTGGAACAAGGATGTAAGAAGGAATCTGTGTTCTAGACGGCCAGCTTTGTTCCTGCATTTTGAACTAGATTTCACAGGCACTTAAGTCTTGTTGGTAAAGTTTTGCTTCTTCATAAGTATCTGTGCTGGAGTAAGTCCTAAATCACCTCTGTCTTTAGATGGTGCAGTAAGTTAGTCTCCTCTTTCCAGCCTATGTGGGAAAATCCAAATGGTTTTATAGGTTAAATGAATTGCAACTGCTGTCTTCTCTATCGAGACTCCAAGTGGTGTTCTCTGAGGATGGAATATTGCAGCATGGTGCACAGGCTGCCAGGCCCTTTTCCTTTGAAACACAAGGGGAAGGAAAGACTTCTGCTCTTGTTTGTCTAAGTAGAAGAAACAGTGCTTGGAGGATAACTGAGAGATATGCCTTTTGAGTGGAGAAAATACACTGCTTCTTTTCTCTTTTCCTGTTTCCTTTTGCACATTTAGGTGCGCTCAGCCTTTTGCATTTTGTAGGTGTGTTTGGAGGTTTATATGCAGTATGTGCTGTATGTGGACAGAAGCAGAGCCACCTGGAGACTGGGGACAGGTGCCTAAATTCTGGTGTGAATCTCAGTGTTTTGCACTCACAATGAGAGTCACAGTCTCAATCTCTAAAATGAAAATTCAGTAGGTGTTTTGTGATTCTAGCATAAACATCCAATGTGGTTAGTCAAGATAAGCTCATACAGTTTTGAATATTAAATCTCAGCTGCACAAAAGGAACTATTTCTGTGAGATTAGTTGCTTTCCCTGATCCAAGTTTCCACATTCCCTCTGCTATAAAAACCTTTGCCTCTTGTGCTGATGAATGAGATTAATCTTCCAAAATCTTTTGCATACTATCTGCAACACTACATCATAAAATAAATAAATAAACCTACCACATAGTTCCCTGGTTTCAAACTTTGCAGATTCAGGGTTCACTAAGAAGTCATCTCTCTTTTTCCTTTAACAGAAGACAACCATATAGAATAATAGAGTTCTCTGTCTAGCATACAAACCCATCTGGAAAAAATTTAGTCTGCAATAATTGTGGGCATTTGATTTAGCTTTAAATCCCTGTAGGTAATTCAAATGTAAATTTATTGGGGTGATTTTATCCCCAAGCCGCCATTGGATCCAATGTTTTAGAGGTGAAATTGGCCCACTGTGCTAAAACTACAGCCTGCATTGTTTCTGTTGCATCAGGATATTATTATGTGCTGTAATATCTGCCGTTATAAGCAGACCCTTACTATAAATAAAGTCAGTAGAGACAATACTGGCAATCACCTGTATTAAATTTATTTTTCAGACCTTGATAGGCTAGTAATTCTTGGATTATGAATATGTTTATATACCAGTATCTAAATCACTCAGACAACACCGGTCTAATTTGCTATTCTGTTATGCTGTACTCATATGAAATAGTCCTTTTGGTCAAGTAAAATTCTATGCATTTCACATTCTGCTTCAGAAGAAAGTCTAATGTTTCAAGAGGCATTCAGCACATAATGTAAACAATGCCATCTGTCTTTTTCTTTGGAAAATCTTCTTCAAGATAGCCCTGATATGCCTACTGTTTTCAATCACTTAAAAGGCAGTAATCCAATTATATCATCCTCTATGTAGGAACTGCCATTGCTTTCAGTCCACTTCCAATCCTGACACAAGTAAATCACTTTGATAAGATCCTCTTTTTATTTATTTTTTCTGAGGAGACTAGCATAAGTAATGATGCCAGCGATAGACCAAGGACAAAATGACCATAATGGACTTTCTGTAGGAAAGGAAAACATGTGCCACTGTGATTTATCATGTTACTTGAAAAGTATTTTTCCTTGGAATTTCTGGAACAGGCGCACTCCCTAAGCAAAGGGTGTTAGCAAGTATGAATGGACAAATGGTAAATTCAGACAAAGCATTCATCAAGTATCAGATTTAAACAACTATTGCTACTTAGATTTCTTAAACAGGAACAGAAGGTCAAAGCAATTTTGGAAATGTGCCTAGGTCATTTTCATCTTTGGTATAATGCCACCTACTTACATGGAAATGCGCTTGGAATGTGTAAGGTTGGATCTTCCTTACAAACTACTAAGGCTTATCATGCAGATATGCTTTCCTTCTATTTAAAAATGGTTTGGGTGACTTCAGTCATTTGTGCTACCAGCGAGCAGGGTCCTGGCAGACAAGTCTAACCTCCCAGAATAGACGTGGCACGAGATCAGTAGTATCTGCAGACTTCCTGCTAAGAACTGCCCTCCACTCTGATGCTGAGAGAGCATAGTCAGAGCTGAGTTGTCTCTGGATACACCTATCTTTTCCCCTGCTTTCAGAAAAAGGGGAAAGCAGCAAATGAGGTAGTCATGTGCGATGCAAAAGCTTGTTTGAAAGGAGCTGGACCACAGGTGTCTCTTTGAACCCAGACTCGTCACTCAGTACAAGTAGCTGCAGAGTTTGCATTTTCAAATTTATGAAGAGTGCTGGTCTCATATTCACTGTCTGAGACCACATCTAGGAAGCACAGTAGGATGTTCACTCTGCTGAAGAAGCTGGTAAGCGGTGATCCGCAATATTAAAAAAATGTAGGCCAAATCTGGCATTTCCAATGTCATGCTATGAGGTAATTCTTTTGTTAAGTAGCTTTGGAGAGCTTGTGTGAGAAAGCTGTGATCTGGACAAATTAGGATCTTAACAAATTAGGATGCTGCTTAGGATGGTTTTGATATATTAGGTTTTTTCCTTTTACAGAGAAAGTGTGGAGAGCCTTATCCAAAAGCATTCCTATGCTCGATCCCCCATTCGGACCTATGGAGGAGAAGATGATCTTGGAGATGACAGCCAGGCAACACAAAGCAGAGGTAAGAAAACATGCTCATGATGACTCAGTTATGCTTGAGAAAAGCAGGACCGCAAGCAGTAATGTGGTACTCTAAGGCATTTATCTGGTGTGTCTCTCTGCCATAAAGTCATAAAATGAGGAAGAATACTTGTTACCTTTTGGTTCCTTGGGACATCTGATATGCCCACAGCACTGGTGTCGGTGCTTCAATTCAGGAGACAGTTACAGACACAACCATATAATCTTTGCCATCAGAGAGAATTAATTCTGCTTCCTCTTCAAGATGTGTGCAAATCAGAAAACTTCATTACTGTGGTGCTGAGAACAAATTAACACTCCCCATCTCTTGGCAGGATTTACTAGCTGGGCTCCACACCACTTGTAAAGCACCATGTAGATGTACCACTTGCTGCCCCCCCCAGCCCTCTGTGAACAGAGAACTTAGTTCTAACCATCTTCAACCAGCCTGTGGTTAACCTACTTTGCATCCTCAGGAAAAAATTTGGTAGTTCCCTGAAAAACTTATGTTTAATTGTTATCTGTTACTCTCTTAAAGGTGGTGTTCCTGCTGAAGCAATTAGCCCCAAATTGCCCTATCAAACAATTTGTTGTGTTAGCAGTAGCAAAAGAAGCAGCAAGACAGGCTTGTTCTTTGTGGGGATACTTACTGGAGAAATTGCATCTGTCATAATTTACCACTGGAAATAGAACTCAAACCCTTCCTGTAGGATTGCTGACTAGCATAAACTTGTGTTGCATTATACTTTGCATGTTGACTTTGTGACCTGTCTGATATGCCGCAGCCACTTGAGGTGAAGCAGTTCTATCTGTCTTCCGACTGGCAGTGCCCTTGTCTTGTCCTCTAACTTCATACAGTGCTGCTAAGATAACAGCATTCTTTCTGGTCATGAGCTCTCTGGACTTGTGCAGGGAAAACACACTTATTTTTAACTATGAATTGCCCTTCAGCAAAATGTGATTAGGTGGGCTTGTTTTTACACATCTATTCTAAGAGCAGGTCCTTAGATTATGGAGTTTCTGAAGCAACTTTACCTGCTATGATGCCATCCTTTCACATAGTTTTGGGGGATTACCTTGCTTCATGTCAACTTAGATACTAGGCCAGCTATTATTGAAGACAGTATTAAATTTTCCATTGCTGGAAGTGCTAAGAGCAAAGCACCTTCTCTTCAAGAATTAAATTTCTCCCTAGTATGATGTCCTCTCTTGGGAGTGACAAAATGAACCAGGTGAACCTCAGTATGAAAGCTGGCCACTAAATCTCTTCAGAAGAGACTCCTTAGAAAGGTGTTATGGGGGATATACTGCTTTATTGCAATTAATTTTATGTGTAATAAAAGGGTACATTTCTGCATTTGCTCGCAATATGGCAAATGAGTAAGTGAGGAAAATTGTGAATCATGGCAAAGAACTTTTTTCTAATCTGGGAGCCATATGCTACATGGGACGTGAGTGCTCTGGGCAACCAGAGACATGCACAGAAGGTAAATCATACTGCTCTTACACATGAGTAACTGGTCCCGCCTTTGCTCTCTCTTTAGGTCTAGTGTCCTTAAATAATGAAAACTCCTTCAAACTACAAGGAGAGAAAACAATGTTCTTATTGAAATTCCATAGATACTTTCGTTTCTGCCAACGAATTTTAAAATTACCTTGCACACAAAACTGATGGGTAGTCCCCTACAAAAGTAAGAGTTGAGAGCCTAATACATATGCATTGCTGGGTGGTGTGTGTTATAAGCTCTTTGAGACCTTGATTGCCTCAGAAGTATTAATTCCCTTGGTGGTGGCAAAAGTGGTATGTGGAGTACTAAGCTGCAATTAGAGACCAAATCAGCTGGAGCAGGAAAGGATGCTTGAGGAAGTTCCTCGTGAAAATCATTGGATAGTGTTGGAAGGGACTGTTAAAGGACATGTAATGCAAACCCCCTTCAGTGAGCAGGGACATCTTCAACTAGATCAGGATACTTAGAGCCCCTTTTAGCTTGACCTTGCTTATTTCCTGGGATGGGACATCTGGCCCCTTTCTGGGCAGCCTGTGCTTCACCAACTGGTGTTTCACCACCCTCACAGTAAAAAAAATTCTTTCCTATATCTAGTCTATCCACTTTTAGTTTAAAGCCTGTACTTGTGACAGATCATGGTAAAAAATTTGTTCCCAGCTTTCTCATAGGCCTGCTTTAAGCACTGATAGGCTACAATTAGCTGTCCCAAAAGTCTGCTCTTCTCAAAACACCACAAGCCCAATTTTCCAAGCCTTTCCTTATAGGAGAAGTGTTCCAGCCCTACAATCATTTCACAGTCATCCATGAGAAAGAATCACATACCTTATTCTGCATAAAACAAATAAATAAATAGCAGTGATAGACTTGGTAATTACCTCAGCACCCTCCCAAGAGCATTCTCTGCTCAGCAAATTTCAGCCATCTAAAGAGGGAAGCAGCTAATCTACAGTACAAGATGTCTAATTCCAGAGGAACTAACAAATAGGAAATGTATAAATTCAATGGAAACTCTTTAATGCATAATTTCTCTGTGTCTACATCCACACACATCCACAGGATTCATAGTAGCCACCTGGAACAGAGCCAAATTAAAACCTTCTGGGCAAATCCAGATTTGCACCCAGCTTTCCCTGTAGTGCAGTAATGCTCAGATACCCTCTGATTTTTCAAGGGGTTTGCTGTGGTCTGTTACTAATGTGTCATCCTCAGAGTTTGGCTCTGGATCCTAATTTCCTCTGGTTCAGCGGTAGGACCAGGATTTGGTTCAAGTTTATCTCTACTGCTAAATTGGCTCAATTTATTTTTCCTGTTACTGGGCTCTTTTACTTGTTTCATTAAGCAGAGGAAGAATAATTCATGGTTTGAGAATGCATCCCATAAGAGATTTATGATTTAAAAAAAAACCACCCCAACAATATACACTTTTTATTTCTGTTGTTTTTTGCTAATAGTTTTGGTTTGAGCATGTGGCTATGATTGGTTATTTTACTTAATTCCAGTAAGTTTTCCTTGATGGATAGAAGTCTTCATATGTTTTCATTCTACAATTTGGATGAACCTCCCTTCTTGAATTAGATTTATGAAACTAGAATCTGTTACAAAATTTGTTGTCTCAAAATGTTTTGCAATACTGAATTGAAATTATATTTCATCAATTACCCTTTCCAACAAATTTATTTTCTAAAGTAAGAAAGCTGGTCAAGTAAGAAAATACATAAGAGACAAAAGTTAAATTATTGTTTAAAGATTAATACAATGAGTTTATTTATAGCATTTTGTTGTATTCCCCATTTCTAGAAATCAGACATATGATGATGACTAGATGCATATGGGAACTACAGAGATGAAGGACAACACAATCATGAGATTATTTGAAAATGACCATGTGTAATTACCCAAATGAATTATTGTTTCCCCAAAATTTTACTGTCAGCAAAAGTAATTAGTTCTAATTTTAAGAAATCATTTTTCTTTTTTAAATGATTCTTCAATCATCAGGAAAGAAAAAGTATTTAAAAGAGTTGGATGATTTGTAGAAATAGGTTTTGAAACTTTTCAAATTAAACAAATCCAAAACAAAATTATAAACAGACCACTTCCATTTGATCAAAAGTAGATAAATACCTTCAGAGCAAGTTATGCACCTCTTACTATGAATTAGCACCAGTGTTGTTTATTAGAGTACTGTACATAATTGGAAAAACAACAAATACTTTAACATTTATGTTTTTAGGATTTTTTTCTCTTTATTATGGAAGGAATCAGGTTGACTGGAAAGATGTAGTGTTGACAGGTTTTACTGGGATTTAAAAAAAAAGGGAAAACTTGCAGGGCAAATTACATTTTTCTGCATTTTTGCCACACTAAAAATTTGGGGAAAAACCCCAAAACAACAGTTCTACTAAGGATCTGATGTAAAAACCTACAAGTACATCTTCAAAACAGGGACATAACACAGTGAGCTTCCATGTGAGAGTAGATGTTTCAGGGTTTAGTGGCAGCATTACAAGGTGCTTCAGTGTTTAATATCTAAAATGTTCAATGTGCAAAGCTGATTTTACTGTTGAAGCCACTGCAACAAGCTTCTGAAAATAGAAATTTGTACAAGACATAGTGGTAAAGGATAGCAACCAACAAATAACATTTTAAAGATGGAAGTGTTTGGGAAGCATGTCCAATGACAACTGGTTGTTGAAACCAGCCTTGCTGTGAAGGACTCATTTTCTCCCTTTTCACTACTTTACCAGCTTTGTGTGCCAATGTTAGGTATTCTTTCTCTTTGCTTGCAGGGTCAGCCTTTACAACATCTGATAACCTGTCCCTCAGTTCCTGGGTTTCCTCTTCAACCAGTTTCCCAGGATTTCAGCATCCACAGTCTTTGAGTGCCCTGGGTACCAGCACTGCATCCATAGCCACACCCATTCCTCATCCGATCCAAGGATCTCTGCCTCCGTACAGCCGCCTGGGAATGCCTCTTACACCCTCTGCTATAGCCAGCTCCATGCAAAGTAGCGGCCCCACTTTCCCATCCTTCCACATGCCAAGGTACCACCATTATTTTCAGCAGGGTCCTTATGCAGCTATCCAAGGACTGCGTCACTCTTCTGCAGTGATGACACCGTTTGTATGAGTGATGTAAGACGAGAGGAACACAAGCTTTAAAATGTGCAAGTGCGCTATGAAAAATACAAGGGACCTTCCTGAAAGGCCTGTGGCAGGAGTGCTGAACTCATGACAAACCAGCTAAGAGAATGCATTGTGGATATAGATTCCTCTTTTGAGGGATCACAAGAAGAGAGCATGCAGCTTGGAGCTGCTCACAGATCTATGTGTAACACAGCCAAAATGGATCCCAAAGTCCCCAGGATCTTTTGTCACATGCAGCTTGTTCCAAAGGTGCATTATACCTAATGGAAAGAGATTATCTTTAAGTAGCAGTGTACAAACTAATTGTCTATAGGTCTTTTTTCATATGTTAGATAAATTCTAAAAAAGGCAATACTCTTACTCATCTTCATCTCTTCTTGTGACTGATAAGCATCTAAACAGAAATATGTATTGCTATAACTTTGAGCATGTTTTAGGCTATCTCAACATACATTTGCTGAAAACAGGACAAAGTGGAGAAGACCACTGTCCATTTTAAGACTGCATATACTCACCAAAACCAGTATTTCTTAGTTGCTACTATAATCACAAAGAGAATGTTATTAACAAGTCTTTCTTTCTTTGTTTGTTTCTTTCACAAAACACCTATTGGTTCCAAAAAAAGAACTGTGTTACAGGACTGTAGTAGTAATAATGTATTCTGTCCTTCAGTCTAAAAGGAAGCTTGTCCTATGTCTGAGGAGGAACAATTTAACTGTTGGCTAAGGTATAATGAAGAAAAATTTTGATTTGGAAAAATCTGTTACTTAAATTTAGAAACCCAAGATTTCCAATTTTAAAGCAGTGCTTGTTTGCTGCTGTGCGTGCCACCGAAGACTTGTTTCCAGCTGCACATGTGTACCAAGTTAACCCAACTTCAGGCTAGATCAGTCTATAGACTCTCTGGATCAAACTATAAGTAATGGACTGGTATGAGTGGCATTGGAGTATCTTTCCACTTGTTCTGATTTTGTTGGGTTTGGTTATGGCTGTTACTATAAAAGGCACCAGTTTGGCCAGGAAAACCAGTTTTTTCATGTCCCACTATAATGGTGGAGTTTCCTTGGAAAAATATCAGTACAGAACTTCACACAAAAGTTTTTTTTCGATTAATGTCTGACTTTTTTTTCAGTTAGTATTTGGGGCTCTCATTCAAAATACTCTAGTATGTTGTGTCTGATGCAATGGAGGAGGAGGCATAAGAAAATAATGACCTTTTCTGCAGAGAGCTAGCATGAATTCTTTGCACTACTGGAAACAGTAGCAAGTGTGATGTTGTTTTTCTGTGTGGCAAGAGCTGGGATTCCATAGTAAATAATAAGATGACACAGAGTTTCTGTGTCAAGTTGCATCCAAACTATAGATGATAATACATCTACTGGCAAAAAAGAATTAGCATAGGTAATCTCATATATTACAGGTCTGTGTAGAGCTGGAACACAAAACAGATTTATTGTCATCTGCTTTTCACCATTCTGTATTGGTGTCATGGTAAAAAGAGGAGTGCAGTACACTGAGTCACCTACTCCCATCTCTGCGAAGTGCAAGGCAAGGCATATGCATCCCACCATTATGTATTTTCTAGCAGCTGAATTCAAAATCTCAAATTAATGGCCATTTCAATCTGAGAACACTAATATTTGGCATGCAGAAATGCCCCTTATTCTGTTTCAGAGAAAATTCTCTTTCTGGAGAATGAAACTGGATTTTGACAACTTCATTTATTTAAAAAAAAAAAAAAAAAAAAAAAAAAAAAAAAAAAAAAAAAAAAAAAAAAAAAAAAAAAAAAAAAAAAAAAAGGGGCTTTCCAGTACAAATGAAATGTGATTAATATCTGAAATAACATGGCAGCAATCTTAGGCTGTCTCAATATAAAAACATGATAAAGCCAACTCCTCTTCCAAATTCACTCTGATGAACTTTGTATTACAGACAATGCAGAATTATCTGTCAAAATCCACAGCTTGATTTTTCCAGTCAGACCAAGTCTCTCTCAGTGGGCTCATCCCACCTTGTGCTTCTCTGTGATGGTTTAGTTCCTTTGCAGCAGAAACCCATTGGGTTGCCCACTAATGCAGAATCATAGGCAGGTCCCGAGTAAGGGAATGAAGGCAGCTTGTGACAGATTTCCCCAGGAAGGAGATAAATAGGTATGTCCATTCCTCACTTTCTCTTCCTTGCCCTCACAGTCCTACCTACAAAAGCTGTTGCAGAGATTTGATGTTAAAGGGATTAAGTTCACAGAGGCCACAGGATGTCCAGTGAGGAGCTCTTGCCACTTCACAATGTTTCTGCTCCATGTCCCTCTCACCTTCCTGTAGGCCTGGGGAAGCATGGGAGTGATCCCAGGAATAAAATTTCTACCCGACTGAAATAAAATGGAAATTTATTGACTGTAATGGGGGAAGGATTTCCTTCCACATTGTCATCTAAAAATAAGGTCTGGCAGTAGGAACAGTGACTTAAATGACAGGAACAATATAAGAATAGTTTAGGAAAGATTAAACCCCAAGTACAAATCAGCTTTAGCACTGAACTCACAACTGGAAGAAAATGAATATGAATTTGTAATTAATTGGTTAAAGAATGAAATCACTTTTGCTAAAAAACAAAAACAAAACCAAATTTAATTATCTCCACCACTTTGACAATAGCCCAGTAATTTATTTAAGGACTTGCTGTACTGCTGTCAAAATTGTATCACTTTCAGGACAGAACATCTGTTGTTGGTAGATGGGCTAGGAATGCCAAATATAATCTAAAATTTATTTTCCAAATACAATTCATGTTTTATATCCCATGAGAAGTGCTCTTCACCTTTATGAGCTTTTTTCTTGGCTCAGAAAAATGGAACTGGTTTATGTTGTTTGATTTTGTTT